AATTCTCTACAATACCCACCCCTAGTACATAACGTTTCAATAGTGTCATTACAACTGAGGTCATTCATGCAATTACATAGCAAAATATATATATTTAGACAACTTCACAGAAGTAAGTTGGTGATTTGAAAACATAAGTCGAACAAACGTTTCAAATGAGGGGTTACTACACTATTTATAATCAATATATTGTTTTCTTAAGTCGGAGAAGGCACAGCTGACAGGGATGAAATGGTACTCGTAAAATGAGGACGTAGAGAAGCGTATTAGTACCAGAGTTTAAAGACCAATAATCTACTTAGACAATACTTACGTCTACGTAGTTGACACTTTACTACTACGTAGACGATACTTTCATCTTCGTAAATGACACCGTATTTCTGCGTAGACGATACTTTCATCTACGTTGATGATACGTTACTTCCACGTAGACGATACTTTCATCTACGTTGATGATACGTTACTTCCACGTAGACGATACTTTCATCTACGTTGATGATACGTTACTTCCACGTAGACAATACTTTCATCTACGTTGATGATACGTTACTTCCACGTAGACAATACTTTCATCTACGTTGATGATACGTTACTTCCACGTAGACGATACTTTCATCTTCGTTGATGACACTTTAGTTCGACGAAGACGATACTTTCATCTACGTTGATGGCACTTTACTTCTACTTAGGGGGTTATTTTTAAGCTATATCCAACTAGGTTACAACTTCACATGACAATATCACAGCCTGAGTATCGGCACGCACGATTATGATATCATATATGAAGATGGAAGTATCAACTGCGTTGACGAAAGTATGTTCTGCGTAGATTTAAGTACCATCTACGTAGATGAATGTATCGTCTGCGAAGATTAACCCGTGAAGATCCTGGTTAGAATTGATCTTCAGCAACATATGCTAATTCGAAGAGGTGACTAACCGGATCTGGTGGTCAGGCTCGCTGGGTTGGTTGACACGTCGACGTATCCCAGTTGCCTTGATCGATGCTGATGCTGTTGATCACTGGATTGTCTGATACAAACTCGGGTATGTACAAACCACTGCCATATAGTTGAAATATAAACAACAAACAGACAAAAATGCAGATGGTGAATTGTTTTTCGTCAATGGCACTAATTCGTTTCCATAGATAGAACACTTGACAATCTTGGTTAACTGTGTAATCTCAACAGATTGATCCTCCAGTAAACAAACCCACAGATCAACAAACGTATCTGACTCAAGCAGGGTATGTTTTGAAGGTCTAGGTCCCGTTCTACGAAGCGATTTATCAAAGATTCAGGTAGGATATGTCTTGTACACAATGTCTGATTAAACCATGGTATGACTTGTACACTATGTCTGATTAAACCATGGTATGACTTGTACACAATGTCTAATTAAACCATGGTATGACTTGTACACAAACCATGGTATGATTTGTACACAATGTCTGATTAAACAATGGTATGACTTGTACACAATGTCTGATTAAACAATGGTATGATTTGTACACAATGTCTGATTAAACCATGGTATGACTTGTACACAATGTCTGATTAAACCATGGTATGATTTGTACACAATGCCTGGTTAAACCATTGTATGACTTGTACACAATGTCTGATTAAACCATGGTATGACTTGTACACACTGTCTGATTAAACCATGGTATGACTTGTACACAATGCCTGGTTAAACCATGGTATGACTTGTACACAATGCCTGGTTAAACCATGGTATGACTTGTACACAATGTCTAATTAAACCATTGTGTGACTTGTATACAATGTCTGATTAAACCATATGGTATGACTTGTACACAATGTCTGATTAAACCGTCGAATGACTTGTACACAATGTCTGATTTAACCATGGTATGACTTGTACACAATGCCTGGTTAAACCATGGTATGACTTGTACACAATGTCTGATTTAACCATGGTATGACTTGTACACAATATCTGATTAAACCATGTATGATTAAAAACCATGGTATGACTTGTACACAATGTCTGATTAAAAAACCATGGTATGACTTGTACACAATGCCTGATTAAACCATGGTATGACTTGTACACAATGTCTGATTAAACCATGGTATGACTTGTACACAATGTCTGATTAAACCATGATATGACTTGTACATAATGTCTAATTAAAAACCATAGTATGACTTGTACACAATGTCTGATTAAACCATGGTATGACTTGTACAAAATGTCTAGTTAAACCATGGTATGACTTGTACAAAATGCCTAGTTAAACCATGGTATGACTTGTACTCAATGTCTAATTAAACCATGGTATGACTTGTGCACAATGTCTGATTAAACCATGGTATGACTTGTACACAATGTCTGATTAAACCATGGTATGACTTGTACCCAATGTCTAATTAAAAAACATGGTATGACTTGTACACAATGTCTGATTAAACCATGGTATGTCTTGTACAAAATGCCTAGTTAAACCATGGTATGACTTGTACCCAATGCCTAATTAAACCATGGTATGACTTGTACACAATGTCTGATTAAACCATGGTATGACTTGTTCACAATGCCTGGTTAAACCATGGTATGACTTGTACATAATGTCTAATTAAAAAACCATGGTATGACTTGTACACAATGTCTGATTAAACCATGGTATGACTTGTACACAATGTCTAATTAAACCATGGTATGACTTATACACAATGTCTGATTAACCATGGTATTATTTTGTACACAATTTCTGATTAAACCGTCGTATGACTTGTACACAATGCCTGGTTAAACCATGGTATAACCTGGACACAATGTCTGATTAAACCATGGTATGACTTGTACACACTGTCTGATGAAGCAAAGGAATTGTATATCGTGTCTACTTCATACATCTGCGTCATTCAACAGTTCACTGAACCAATCACTCTAGTCAAGCTGAAATAATAGGCGCCGAATATGTTGTAGGTCAACGCAAGGCACATTAACAAAGTCATAAATATTCTAACTATTGGCTAATTTATACTCTATTTCCCATGGAAGGCCTCTTGGGGTAAACAACGAACGACCACAACTGTAAATAGAAACAAAAGGTTGTGAATAAACCCAGCTGCCGCACACCCCAGATTGTCTACTAATGGTCAAATGTTACGCACAACACTGTTGAAAGATACACTATCGTATACCAGGTACGTGTAATTGACTTTTACTGTACTGGCAACGGTATACAATACCCCTGATTAGGGGACAAAGGTGGCTGTGGTCTCTGTTATGTAACGGAGCTCTTACGTCATAAGACCGCAAAGTATAGAACCTAATTAATAATTATACTGACTCTGTGGAACGCCATTAATCCGGTTGCTTCTTTTACGGGCAGTTGCCCTTAGGAACGTAATGTTATGTTCTAAGGACAAGTTCAGTGGTGTCTGGATAAATGAGGTTACTTGGGATACACACACACGCACACACACACATATTTAAAAGGGTTTAGGGCACCATGACTCCCTTAAGCTCAGAAGCAAAACCCTTAAAATCGAAACTAGGAAATATATCGGGGTCTATTTGTTATTTCATCAAGACATGGCATAGTGTTAACAACACATAATTGTTCTGTGGTTGTGAACAATAATTGTTGTTATTAAAGGACCGATAAACAAGCATCACATTCATACGAAATATATCTCAAACTATATTAATTGTCCATTTGTTGTAGGCTTCATTACTTGTATGTAAATAAACGTAATAACTATATCATATGTCAGTTGAATATTGCCACGTCGAACCGCATAGGGGACATGAACCCGGACCTACTGTGAGAGAATCAAACACACCATCCGGTTACCTACCAACTTCCAAGTAAGGCTGGTGAATTTTTAAAATGTGATCGCTCTGTTTTTGTGTCTGGTTGTGTCATCTCAGCGGTGGGTTTTTCATGATGAAGATCATGAATCATTCCCACTTTTCACCCCAGACACGTGCAGATCCGGGTTAGAATTGATCTTCAGTAACCCATGCTTGTCATAAGAGGCGACTAACGGGATCGGGTGGTCAGGCTCGCTGACTTGGTTGATATATGTCCCAATTGCGTAGATTGATGCTCATGCTGTTGATCACTGGATTGTTTGGTCCAGTTCGATTATTTACAGACCGCCGCCATATACTAGTAGCTGGAATATTGCTGAGTGCGGCGTAAAACTAAACTAACTAACTTTTCACCCCAACAAGCTGTCCTCATGATATGAGTAACTGATGTTCAAAGCGCCGTTAAACAAGATTCAATCACCCATTTAAAATTGGTAGTAAAAGAATGAAATGTACAAAAACAACAAATAAAAATATTAATCTTTTCCCCAAATAATGCAAATAAATACGCATTATGAAACGGAGTCGAACTGACCAGACAAGCGATAATAAAACTTGATGTAATCTATCGTACAGACCCTGAAATACATATACCTAATAAAGCCCATGCAAGTCTAGAATGTGTGGCAATTTTTGATTTCCACAGTTTCTAGAAAATGAAGAAAGTCACTGGGCGCCTTTTTGTTATATTTTATCTATTTAATTTAGGAACTATTTCTGTAAAATATGTATATTTCAGGCTAGGTGTTGGCCTTCACTTCAAGTCACAATATCTAAATTGGACCATAGCGTTATATGTATTTTCTGTTGTATACTGTTTCACACCTTAATTCTGGCATGAATTTTGACACAAAAGGAAAACAATGAACACGTCTGGCCCGTGTGATATTTGTTGGCCATTCAATAAAGCTGTGAAACAGTTTTGTCTTCCTTTGCAAACAAGGCATTGACTAGGTCAGTGATGTTACACCGCCGAAGACTCTCGAACCATCAACACGACTCCGTCTCGTTTGAACACCGCATGTCCCAACACACTCTTATTCCGCGAAATACCTATTGTGTTATGTTCATGCATTAATTTGACAACAGGTTGGTTCTCCGCTGGGGGTCTTAAGCCTTGATACAATCAATCCCTTGATTATCGACCGATTCGCACATGCGCAGAACTAATTGGAACGTCGTTAGCGCCAGCATTGTTGTGTGGACTTGACAAGGAATGGTCAGACCCATCTTGGAGTTATTCTGAGCAGATTTTCGACAAAGGTAAGTTCACGTTTAGCTTATGGTACGTTGTGTCAGTCTACCTGTGTGGCATCCTTTGATGTTACCGACAAAACGAGGTGAAGATATAGACAGAAGATACAGGTAGAGATGACGATTGATCATCCCTCGAACGTAGGTAGTCGAGACACGGAGCAGCATGACCTAAATAGATCACCTGGGATACCCGATAACTCTGCGGTTTGGGGACGATCGTTATACGCGGAACATACATGTGTTTTTACCTGTGTATAATATGTAATTAATGCTATGGCATGTACCTAATATTTATGACAAGAAAATGCTAGAGAGAAAGAGAGAGAGAGACAGACAGAGAGAGAGAGAGGGAGAGGGTGCTCCTTGCTCAGGACAAGGAACCACCTTTAAAATCGATATACTTGACTTAACCATCACCTCAACATTAATCAAGGGGGCCACCGTCCCGAGATGAATGTTATATTTTTATATGTCGGATAGTCAGTGTGCTTAACTGAATTCTAACCGAAGTAAAGATATTGGCACGATATGACTAAATTCACCTGTTTAAACATGTCAAAAACTGTTAACAATAAATGTCATTGCATTGGCATGGCCGCAATGAGATTGACATAAGCCGTATAAGTATGTAGGTACATAATCGTAATCCTCTTGTGGCGTGTTTCAGTAACACTTCAATATACCCCGAAAAACTACGCCGCACCCCCCTCACATTGTATCTACAGACTGTACGTAACTTGTGCCGTGTTCACAGACATACGTACCTCTTTATACCGCTTGTCTTCCCAATATGAGGGGACCGTTCGTGATTTATGGTTGGGGGGGTCTGATGATGATTTTATGGAGAAGCATGTATACAATGTGAATGACCCCCCCTACGTTGTATGAACAAGTTAGTCCCCCCCTTTGTCTTGTACAAAATCTATGCCCCCACCCCCCATAATTTTTAAGCATAACTTTTTAATATTTTTATGTAGAAAATTGATGGACACCCCCATCCCCACCTCAACCTCCCAGAGCATTATGGGTGAATCCCCACCCCCACCCCACCCCTGAACATCACCATCACCCCTAGCCATGAAATATGAACGGTCCCTAACCTTGGCTACAGTATTGAACCAAGCAAGGACATCTTCTTTGATTGGCATTCTGGAAGTTTAGGAAACGAAGAATGAGGACAATTTTAATGGATATGCATGTTCTTTATGATGTATAAACGTCGCCTTTGCAGAATAAAGAAGCTGTATATCCATAAAAAATGTCCTCATTCTTCAAACAATGTCAGTTGTCGTTCCTTCGCTTGCTCTATATGACACTGTTCCCGTTATAACACAGCTTCACAACACATGATCAGTGTCGTCTAACTGCTACCATGGCAACGTTTCATCAACAAGCACATATGCATTACCGTTATCGTCACGCGCAACATAACTTTAAATCCATACTTGTTTCGGTAATCTTCGTCAAGCGGTTTTAACAACGCAAAGAGAAACCTGTGTCAATACCGTTGTATTGATAAAATCACAAACTTGACAGATCGTTACGGATTGAAATGTATGTCAGTGTATGATCATCAGCACAGAACGAGAGACATTGAAAGGGGCGTGTTTCTCAGCCCGATATTTGTCACTGATGCAGACATTCTTTCCAAGAAGCGATGAATTATGTAGGGACACTTCGGCTATTGTTGCAATCAATAGAATGGTGCGTGCCAACCGTGTGGGGCGGTGTTGTTTTGTATACTGAACCCTTGAAGATGACGGTAAAATTAATCTTCAGCAACCTGATGTTTGTCCCCAGAGACGACTAACGGGATCGGATGGCCACTCTCACTGACTTGGTTGATATATGTCATCGTAGGTTAACTATGTAGACCGATGCTCATGATGTCAATCACTGGATTGTCGGGTCCAGATTGGATTTTTTTGTCAGATGGCCTGATTATTGCTGAATGCGGCGTTAGAAACAAAAACAAGTTAACAAAGTATTGTAGATGGTGTGTAAATGATTCCTCATCTGCATGTGAATAACAAAACAAGGATGATGATGATAATGATGATGATGATTATGATGATGATGATGAGCAAACATACATGTACATTTATGTCATATTATGTAGATAGGGTAATGTTTCTCCATGTCGTCCTGTGATATTTCGAGGCTTCTACGGGTTTTAATTTTTTTCTTTACATTTCCACGTCGCACTGGTGGAGAGTCACTGTCATAATAGCTGTGAATTGTCTTTCATTCTGAAAAAAGATGTTTATGTATTTTCATCAAACATTCCTTGTTCATTTGAGCGGAATGGTAAATATACTACTATCTACAACAGTTAAAATAGCTCGCACCAACTCTGGACTCCTTTAAAAGCCATCTCAAAACGCACCTTTTCATTCAGTTCTATGACAGCTCACTCTTACTGTACATATTGTTTTAATTGTAGCGCCATGAGCATGCTTACGAGTGTGGATTTGTGCGCACTATAAATAGGCACTATTATTATTATTATTATTATTATTATTATTAAAACAAGTATTGGATTTGTGTAGATCAAAATGTTGCATTTGCTCCGTTTTGTATGCAACGGTCGTAACATTAATCGAGACTTAACATTCATGAATTATGTAGATTTATCAGCAAGCGTCCACGTTATAATACATGGAGTTGACAGTTTATGTACAATGTTGGTAAACATGAAGTTTCTTTCCGATCCAAAATATAAGCGCAGTATTAAAATGGTGTTACAATACCACCCCTTTATCACCCACTGTACAGACTGCTTAATGTGTCCTGTGAAGAACCGGGTAAGAAGGTTCCAGGGGCGGTGTGGTAGCCTAGTGGTTGAAGCGTTCTCTCGTCACGCCGAGGATCCTGGTTCGATTCCCCACATGGGTACAGCGTGTGAAGCCCATTTCTGGCGTCCCCTACCGTGATATTGCTGGGATATTGCTGAAAGCGGCGTAAAACTAAACTCACTCACTCCAGATGTCCTATGTTTGCCTTAGGCGGCGACTAACGGGATCGGGTGGTCAAGCTCATTGACTCGGTGGATGTATGTGACCACAGGCCGATGTCCCACATGTCAATCAGTGTATAATATACTCTAGACACGATTATTTACAGCCCACGTCATATATAATATTGTCGAGTGCGGCGTTAAACAAACAAGCAAAACAAACAAACTGCTATATGGGTTTGGCGAAATCTGAACCACCCTCTTCAATTCTCAACCCCACCTGCCCATGCGTCAGAGACCCGGTTTCCATGCTTTGATCTGTTATACATAGCTAATCCCCAAACTACACAAACATGCACTTGTAGGTAAACACGGTGCGTGATTGTTTCTAACGTCAATTGCCCCGTTCATATACAGTCGTGTGTTTACTTAAAGGCAGTAAACACTGATATTCGTGAGGCTTGCATGAAACTTGTGGTAGCGTTATGCAGTCACTCAGTTCGGTTGTATCGATACCCTTGTCTTTCATTGTTAAGGGGTTTCTTTGCGGTATTAGGGCTGCGAAACTGCCAACATTCAGCCTAGTTAAGTGTTCCCGAGTCCTGCGAACTTATGAATAAATTGTCTTTAAACGAAAGCGTTCATACATTCACACGTGTATTATGCAAATGTTTTATATTTTATTCTAAATGGTATTATATGAGGTAGTGACATTATTAAGGCACTTTTAACGACACTACAGCATTACACCTATTCGTGCTCATAATTGATATCTGATTGTCTGTGTAGAGACGAACACGCAAACCACTGGCCTATCAACGTCCTATTAGACAGCTAATGTGTAATTATATTTGTGCACTTTCAAAAGTATTGTCAGATATAATAAACATTAAAAATTATTATTGGTGTATTTTTGTTAATAATATGACATGCAAAGCGGCTTTCGTTAGTTGCAGTACTTGGGATGAGACAGTTTTACGAACTTTTCGTATTTAGTCAGACCGTATGGTGGTGCAGTGGATGGGGTGTCTGCTCGAAGATTGGTCGGTAGTTCGATTCTCTGGTCGCACCTTACCAAAAGACGTCAAAACGCGTTAAATGGTGCTAAGTGGAAAAAAAGGCCTAGTCTGTTTGGATTCTAAATAATGGTTTAGTTTGGTACCCACTTGGTGTAGCATGTTAGTGGACCAGCACTGCGCTGATATGTAAGTGGACCAATCTTAAACATATTACTAAGCCCGAGTTGTCAGATGTTTCCAAAAGGACTTGATCTAAAGTGACACATCTGGTGCTTTTGGATTACTTTCCCAAAATCGACGTAAATGTTTGGAAAAGAGTTTTTACAGTGATATATAAGTCACAGATATTCCTATTATGTTGCCAAAACACCACAGATATCGTACCCAATTGCGAAGTTGCCAGTCAAAATCACAACACTTTTCAAATAATCCCAAAACACCAGGTGTGTACTTTCTTTTAAACGTCAGTTTAGACTACTATATATAGTTGACAGGCTTCCACTTGTTGTCTATATAACAGATGTTTCAGTCTTAAATCTGACGTTGAACTTCACCCTACCTCACCCACTTACCTCACCACCTCACCCACTAGGCCAAGTAACCAAACCGCCATGTCGCGAGGAGGGTAAAACACCGTTAAATAGAGGAATATATGCAACAGGAATATACTTCCAAAACCCACGTATCTGGTAAGTTACGACTTGCAAAATATCTGTACATAAATATTAAACTGTAAATAAATTGTAAATGAATTAACTTAGGACATACAGGGTTTAACATAACCCTAGTAGTCCGAACACCCATTATTCCTGACGGTTAACCTATAGCAAGAATAATGAATCAAGGGTGGTTTGTTATATATTAGTTACGAGAACAGGCTGTATATTTTCATACTGGTGTCATACAGTCTGAGAGAATTATTGTAATCTATGCTTACTGTAGCATAACACGTATTTTAGGTTGCATCCATATAGAACAGGCAATTAGTTCAGCCAGCAGAACACGTGGCCTATTATCTGTAAAGCATAAAT